ATGACTTCCGTTATTTGAATCTATGTTCTCAATTAATCCAAACCAGGGAATTATGACCTCTAATAGTGTCTTAGTTACGTTGCTAACCATGGTAGTTGACAGCAGGATGGCTTCAATCCCATTAGTTAAATGGTCTACTATTACTAAGAGGCACCTGAGGCGACCAGCTTGAGGCATCCTCTGCATAGTCGACTTGGATACTCTGAAATGGCCTCAGACGCAGGTTCTTCCCCACCGAGGGCTGTTTTTCTAACACTAGTTTATGTACCTTCCTGCAAGTAATACAACTTTCATTCACCTGTTTAGTTATGGTGTATATACCTTTGTTATCCATAAACTCTTTAGGCAGAGTCACACAGGGCACGTGGGTCCCAGTGACTTCCTCTATGTAACTGGAGTTAACAGTTCTCTCAGAATCAGTTTTGAGAGCATCTCTTTTCTGTCAGGTAGAAGCCATTTCCCTTCAGAGGTTTTAGAGGCCCCCACCTTGGCCAACTGTTCTTCTTCCCAGGGTTTGAAGAGCAGGGTGATGGAAGGAGGCAGGTGGATGGGGGCAAGATGGAAATTCGGGGCCTCTGACCTGAGGACCATCTCCTTAGCAACTCCATCTGCCAGTCTGTTTCTCTGTGTCTCCATAGAATAGCCTGTTGGTGTCCAGGTATATGTACTACTGCTATTCCCTTGGGTAACAGTAAGCTTTCCAGCACCTGGGTGATTAACTCTTTATGAATTAGGTCCCATCCCTTGCTATTAATAAGGCCCCATTCAGTGCAAATCTTTCTGAAGGTATGTACCACTCCAAAGCCATATTGAGAGTCTGTGTAGGTGGTCTCCTCTTTTCTTTCAGGAATTTTAAGGCTTGGATAAGGGCGAATAATTCACATATCTGGGCAGACTACCTGTCGGGTAACCCTTCTGATTTGATAACTGGGGATCACTCCCCATCTATAATAGAGCACCCATTGTGTCTTTTCCCTTCCAGCACTGGGAGAAGCCACCTACAGAGAGATGAAACCCTGCGGAAAAAGGAGTTTCCTTGAGGTCAGGTCGAACTTTAGTCTGGTCATCTATGAGATATATACAGTGATGTTGCACAAGACCCCGTGTTTCACCTCTGGTCAAGAATTTGGCTGGGTTTAGACAGCCGTCAGTAGTGAGGACTAGCTCATGTCTTTCTAATAGGATACCTTCATACTTCAGTATCCTGGAATCAGTTAGCCACCTTCCTATCTTCTGATGGAGAATTGCCCTACCCTGATGTGGTCTGCTGACAATCACTGCCCCACCAAATGTCCATTTTCTACTTTCCTCAGTTAATATAGCTATGAAAAGCTATGACCAACCTATGACCAACCAGCAGCATATTAAAAAGCAGAGACATTACTTTGCCAACAAAGGTCCGTCTAGTCAAAGCTATGGTTTTCCCAGTATGGATGTATGGATGTAAGGGTTGGACTTTAAAGAAAGCTGAGCACCGAAGAATTGATGTTTTTGAACTGTGGTGTTGGAGAAGACTCTTGAGAGTCCCTTGGACTGCAAGGAGATCAAACCAGTCAATCCTAAAGGAAATCAACCCTGAATATTCACTGGAAGGACTGATGCTGAAGCTGAAACTCCAATACTTTGGCCACCTGATGCGCAGAACTGACTCCTTGGAAAAGACCCTGATGCTGGGAAAGATTGAAGGTGGGAGAAGGGGATGACAGAGGACGAGATGGTTGGATGGCATCACCGACTCAATGGACCTGAGTTTGAGTAAACTCCAGGAGTTGGTGATGGACAGGGAGGCCTGGCATGCTGTAGTCCATGGGGTCACAAAGAGTCGGACATGACTGAGTGACTGAACTGAACTGAACTGATTCCTAAGTTTAATCATTAGGTCTCGGCATAGGAGATTAGGCCCCACCTTGGGCACAAAGAGAAATTCTGTCTGAGTCTGCCTAATCTTATACTTGAGTTTCTTTAAAGATGAACATTGAAATCTTCCCCTTTTACCCCTGAGACTAACAAATGCTCACTGGACAGAGGTAGGTAAGGAGGGTGACATGTCAGAGAGGAACGTCCCACTCCAGAGTCGGTCAAGAAAGTGACCTCTTCTTTCTCAGGTCCTACCTCTAAATTTATCAAGAGCTGTTGGTAGGACTCTTCAATGTAAAAGAGCCCCTGGCCCCCCTCCCCTTCCTCATCAAAGGTCATGAGAGGTATGACTTTTTCTTTTTTCCTTCAAGCGTCCCTCTTGAAATGTCCCTCCTTCCCACATCTGGGGCACTTGATTTCCCCTTTTCCCCTTAACAGCCCCTGGATCCCCCTTCCATTAAATCTTCCTGGAGGTGGTCTTTGTTTTTGATTCTTGGGGCCACCTCTTCCCTGAGTGACCTGTTCTGTGGTGGTAAGCATAATCTTAGTTTTCTGTTTCTGCTTTTCTTCATCCCTCCGTACATATACCTTCTGGGCTTCTCTTAAATAATTATTCTAAACTTTTATCTTTCCAACTGTCTAATTTCTGGAATTTCTTAGAAATATATGGCCAACTATTAGTTACAAAATGAATTTTAACATATGTTGGCCAAGAGGATCATCTAAATTCGATCCAGAGTATTTTCTTATTTGATCTTTCAACCTGTTTGGCTGGCCCTTCATCTTTTCCTTGCTGTATGTCAAAGGACTTAGTAATGTTTGGAATCAGGGAACTCTCTGATTCCTTTTATAATTAGGTCCCTGAGATCTCTCGTATGACCTTATGTTCAGGACTGTTATTATTCCATTGTGGTTCTTGGTTAGGAAATTTTACTTCAGCTGCTAAGACATTTGAGCCAGCTAAGTGTTCCTTTTCCCAAGTGGCCATCACTGTTCTCCAAATCATTGATCTTTCCTCTCTGGAAAACAGAATGCCTAAAATAGATATAAGCTCAGCCCACTTGAAAATTTGAGGGTCTAAAAACTGATCTAACTGGTTTGCAACCCCAGGGGGATTCTCTAATAAGGGCTTCAGTTCTTTCTTCAATCCTCAAACCTCAGAGCTGGTAACAGGGAGGGTGCGGGGTCGGTGTGGGGGGGGAGCGGGGAGCGGTGTTCACAAATCCAATTCCCCTTCCTCCTAGGGGACCCTCTTGGAGGGGTTAGAGGGCCTAAGGTTCCTCTCTTTCAGGAGGGAAGGGTAAATTTTGAATGTCCTTATTACATTGTTCTATGTCCTTCCTCAACAGAGGAAGGGAGGGATACAGTGCTGGAGAAGGTCCGAGGCTATGGCGGCCAGCTTGGGGTCTCTCTCTTCTGTTCTTATTTCCTCTCCTGCGGCAGTTTAGGCTATTTCCACAGCAGTTTAGGCTATTCCTGGGGCAGTTAAGGCTGTAGGCCTCCTGAGTTATAAGGAGGAGGCAAACAGTCGAGAGGATCCCACTTTCTATTTTCAAAACTTCTCCTTGTCTTTACCTAGTTCCATCTTTAAGGGGAATAGAACCACCAGCCCCTTTCTCCAGCAAAGAGCATAATCTATTTCTTCCTGGGCAACTGGACTCTTGTCATCAACATACTGTACAAGCAATTGGCAGATCCAATCTTCATCGGACCCGAACTTAGGCCAAAATACTGATGGTTTCAATATAGGTTCTTGAGTCCAAAAGAAACAGCAATAATCTATCATCTGTTGTTTCTTTTTCCCTTTCATCCCCAATATTGGAGCATGCGTCCTAGGGGACTGCCTGGGGGAACCTTGTTGGTCTTTCTCCCCTCAGAATCCTTCCGGCCTACAGAAGATTCTTATTATCCATCCCTATTGTCTGATTGTGTGCACTTGACTTGAGGCTCAACCCCCCTTTTCTTTCTTCAGAGGTTTCTTGCACTCTTCCCGAGTCACTTCGACTCTCTGGCCATTTCCCTCAAGGGAGAAATATCTCAGAAGAGAGGATATTTTGCTCTTAGCTTCTTAGCTACTGGCAGGTCGGTATAAGCCCCGGATTAGGTCAGAAAAGACTGCCTTATGCCATATGAAATCACCAAAGGACATTAACGGAACTATGGATCAGGACTCCACACTCGCTTCCACACATAGGTCTCATGAACACAAGACAGCCTCTGGGATGACCCGGCCACCAAGGAAATAGTTTGTCACCTCTTGTGACGTTTATTAGGGCTTTCCAGGTGGCGCTGGTGGTAAAGAACCCACATGCCAATGCAGGAGACATAAGAGACGCCGGTTGGATCCCTGGAGGAGGGCATAGCAACCCACTCCAGTATTCTTCCCTGGAGAATCCCCATGGACAGAGGAGTCTGGAGGGCTACACAGTCCATAGGGTCGCACAGAGTCAGACACGACTGAAGCGACTTAGCACGCACGTGACGTTTCTTACCCTGGTCCCTGCACCTGGTCGCCTAGGTGCCTGCCTGGGCCCCTCCCCTGCGATGCCGATGGACTTCCGACCCGGGGTCCGCTGTCAACTCAAGGGATAGCAGACTTCCCCTCCCTGGATGCCACCATAGGGAGAAGGTGGGACGCATCTCCGGGGGGGAGGGGGGGCATCCATTCGACCCCTCCAGGTGACATGGATCCCAGACGAGCCCCCAAATTGTTGAAAATGTCTTCCGCCGGCGCCGCGCGCTCCGAAAATGGATTGGCAAGGCAAACTTTACTTTTGCTGAAGGATGCACAACCAACAAGTGTGACCGGCCAGCACACTGAGTGGGAAGCCAGCTCTGTTTTACCGGCCAATTCAAGGGAAGGGCGAGAACAGTGAAGCAGCTAGGTGGGGGAGGGGTCGCCATGTGCAGTTTGTTTACAGGAATTTACAGACTACAAAAAGGCATGATTTTCCTAAGAAGGAAGCTGATTATATTGAAAAGGTTACGTTATTCCTACATCCCTTCCCGGTTCTGGGCCGCCGCGGAGTTCAGCTTTTGCAAAGTACGCCGGCGCAAGAGGGACTGTTCGATTGGCTATTTGTTGCGATGAGCCGGCAAATAGAAGCTACATGTAAGCCCCACCCCTTCCTGCCACGCCTCCGCTCACGCAAGTCGGCCCTGGGCACGTCGCCGCCACGCGCGCACTCGCACGCAGGGTGCGTGGTGACGTTACGGCGGCGCGGGCGCCATCCCGGAAGCGCGAGCAAGGCCGCCAGATGTGCAGGTGCTGCTGCCACCGATGCCCGGGCCGAGTTCAGGGTGGGGCTGGGGACGCAGGGGCCTCTGGGGATGCAGGCCGGGTTGGGCGCGGTCCCTGGGCTGTCGTGGGGTGGGGCGCGCCGTTGGCAACATCTGGGCACCCCTCCTGCGCACAGGCCTCAGTTTCCCCGTCTGCGCAGTGGATGCGCGGGTGGCGCTGTGGGCCGGATCCGGATCCGGGGCGCGAGAGTTGGGGCCTCTTGTATTCAGGCTGTGCCTTGTCACCAAAACCGGGCGTTGGCCTGCTTGGGCCTCAGTTTCCCGGTTTCACAAGGGCGGGGCATGAGGGGGTTGGGGAGCCCCGCCCCACTGGCGGGTTTTGCTGAGCTTGGGCGGCCTATTTAAACTCTGTTAAAAGACCTGGGTGGAGTAGCTGCCCCTCCCCGCACTGGTGTGTGACCTTGGGCAATGGAGTCCACCCCTGTGTTGCCCTCGGAGGTGGTAGTGTCTCCCCTGTAGGGGGAATTGGGGATTAAATGAAGTGCTACACAAGTGTTTGTTCTTATTTTTGGAAGCACTGGGGAGGCCATCCTTAGATTCCTTCACGCTGCCCTCGGAGAAACTCCCTGCCCAGAACCCAGCGCCTCTTATCACTGTTGGTTTCAGTCCCCACAAACAGCATTGTGAAATTCTAATTCTTTGTTATTCCTACTTTATGGATGACAGATCCAGGAGGTGAGATGACTTTCCCAAGGTCACACAGCCTCCCTCTGCGAGTTTTCCCCATAAATATATTTGGAGCAGGACCAGAACCTATGCTGGGTTATTTCCACCCTGTATATAAGCCAGACTGTGGCTCAGATGGTAAAACGTCTGCCTACAGTGCGGGAGACCCAGGTTCAATCCCCAGGTCAGGAAGATCCTCTGGAGAAGGAAATGGCAACCCACTCCAGTACTCTTGCCTGGAAAATCCCATGGACGGAGGAGCCTGGTAGGCTACAGTCCATGGGGTTGCAAAGAGTCAGACATGACTGAGCAACTTCACTTTCTTTCACTTTCCTCCAAGAGGCAGCTGGTGGGAGAGTGTGCCTTGAATCCCTCAGCCCTCACATCTGGGAGCCAGAGCTAGGAAGGAGCCCTGCTTTGAAGCAGAACCATTTTCCACAGGTCCAAATGCTGTACCTGCCAGGCTCTAGCTGCGGGTGTCCCACCACACGACTCTGTCCTTTGAGAGCCCAAGTGTCCCCTTTATACATGACCTTCTTTGGAAATGTGGAGGGTGTTGGTGTCCATACCTGGCACATAGTAGGAACTCAGTAAGCATGGTGATTGGTGCTGGGTGGGGGGGGGGGTTATATTTCATCAGATGTGACAGTTTATCTCCGGACAGCACATGGGGGCTGCAAACCAATAGCCAGATTCAGCACTAAGAGAAATGTACTCTTGGCCTCTATGGGGTAAATATTAGTTGCTGACATTTGTAAATGAGGTGATTTCACAGGGACAAGAAATCCATGTTGCAGTTTTTTTCTTTTTTTTTTTTTTTCTGGAAAGAATCAGAAGTCTGGCAGAAATCAGGGACTGTAAGAAGCAGCTGTCCTGTCAGAGGTAGATACTCAACATCCAAGTCACATTTGTGGATCCTGTGGGCCGTGGGCATTTGAGTTGTGACCCATGGTTACTGGTTGTGTGTCAATGGCCCAGTACCTCAGTCTCTGAGCATCATTTTCCTCATACATAAATAAGGATGGTAACAGTTGCTGGTGTTTGAAATTGGTGTCTTGTTTAGCATAGAGTAGATGCTCAATAAGGAGGAGGGTAGACGTGGACTCTGAAAGCCCTTCCTGATCCTGTGTGTGAATCTTAACCAGTTGCAAGTGGCCATTAATGTTGGCCATTTAATGTTGGCCATTAAATGTGCTGACCCCAGAGCCAAGCTGTCAGGATTCTGGGTTTTTCCTGAGTCTCCTTAGGAGGGCCAGTGCTGAAGCCGTGGGCCCTACTGCCCTAGCATGGTCTCGGAAGTCCCCACCTGCTGGGATGTAATCTGTGTGCCAGAGAAGCTGGGAGCTGCAGAGCCATCTGGATTGCTGGGGCTCACTGCCTGGCTTTAAGTTGCTAATAGGAGTCTAGCTTCAGAGCCAGAGTTTGAAAGTTTCTGTTTTGCTCTCAGCAAATTAAATTCTGGCAATCCCTTGCTATGAGCTGGGTTCTGGGCTTGGCTCTGGAGAAAGCAGCAGGCCAGAAAGACATGCCTTTGTTCTGCTGCAGCTGACATTCTGGGGGTGACTGGCAAATGGGTCACCTGATAACTAAAATAATTTCAGGAAGAGATGAGACAGTGGAACCATTTAAAAAGGTGAAGTGATGAGAGTGCCCAGAGTGGGGGTAGTCATCAGAGAGCCTCTTGGGAGAGAAGGCATTGGAGGGGGTAATGATTTGAGGGACAGCCATGTATATTCTCCCAGCGGGGATGGCAGGTGCAGAGGCAGGGGACATGGGAGGAGGGTGGCAGATCTGTGCAGGAGGAAGTTGCCTGTGACTTTGGGCACATGGGAGTTGGGGGTGTGGAGGTGGAAGGGGTGATGGGATTCTGATGTGCTTGGGTACAAGTTATAAATATGAACTCCGGTGATTCTCAAAACACTCCTGAATTTCTGTGATGACAAAGCTGAGACTCAGGTGGCATGACCCACTTCATGTGGCTTGCAGGGTTCCCAGACCCTCTTATCCATCCCACCTCCCCCACTTCCTGATGCAAACCGAAAAATCTTTATTCCTGCCTGTTTCAGGCAGCGGAGGAGGAGGAAGAGATGGACCCCCCGGACTCGGCCTCGAGGGTGTTCTGTAGCCGCATCCTGAGCATGGTGAATGCGGACGATGTCAGCGCCATCATCCTGGCCCAGAAGAACATGTGAGTGAGGCCAAGGGCCCTGGGGCCCCGGCGTGGGAAGGAATCCACTTGCTGGCCAACATTCTTGCCCTGCCCGCCTCTACCCTGGTCCCACACTGGTGATAAAATGAAGGAAGTGAGCAAATCTTCTGGCTGGCTCCAAAGTGAATTCCTTCCTTGCCTGGAGGCGAGGCCCTGGCACTGGCAGAGGGGCTCTGGGACAGTTTTGCAGCTGTGGACAGTTTGGCGGGGGCCACAGCACCTCCTACCCTGAGGCCTGTGGTGGGGAGACCTGGGTTGGGGGGGAAGATAAGGAAGGGGCTGTGGGATTTAGGGGAGCCATGGCTCACTTCCTGTCGGGCGCCTGTTCTCACAGCCTAGGCTGTCTCTGCAGTGCATGCGGGGTCACTTGGAAGGGCTGGGAATGCCCTTTGCCCTCTTTGGGGCTTGGCACTGTAGCCACCACAACTTCCCCCTAATTCCAGCATGCTCTCTGACACAATCTTGGGGTGGAATCAGTCTCCTGGGGCTTTATTTTTGTGTCTTTTAAGCTAAAAGTTCTTCATTCCATTTATGGCACAGCATGGACCTGATACCTTACCTTTCTCGTCCTGTGACAAGGGTGCTGGATCTGCCTGGGTCTCAGCACCACCCATCTCCCTCCTGGGTCTTAAGGTCAGATTCAGACCTAGCCCTGGAGGAACTCCCAGGCTGAGAGGAGACAAAATCAGACTTGAACCTTCCTGGCCTCAGGGTATCAGGACTGGACCAGAGAAAGAACCTGGGGAAGCAGGAGAGTCAAAGAGTCTGCTTGAGGGAGAGGGTGAAGGCTACATGAGAAGGGCACCCTTGAGGAGGGTTTTGAAAGTTGAATAGGAGTTTGCTAGCTGTCTCAGACACCAGGTAGAGCTCCACAGGACACAGGAATGATGTACACCGAGGTCACGGAACAGGAAAAGGCCTAGCAGGATCAGTTGGCAGGGCCCTGGAGGCTGAGCAGAGGAGTCGGTGCCCTTTTTCTGCTGCCAGGCTGGACCGCTTTGAAAAGACCAACGAGATGCTGCTCAACTTCAACAACCTGTCAAGTGCCCGCCTGCAGCAGATGAACGAGCGCTTCCTGCACCACACAAGGACCCTGGTGGAGATGAAGCGGGACTTGGACAGTATCTTCCGCAGGATCAGGTGGGTGCTCCCCCTCCAGCCTCCGCCTCCCACTCCATGCCTCAGGTTCCTCTTCTTTTCCATGAGGGCCGTCCTCTCCACATAGCAGGGTGGGAGACTCAGCTTGTTTGTTTTACAAGGCTTCATCGCACACTTAGTATTGGAGGACTGAAAACCTTAGAATTTCTGAACTTAAGTTTTATTTCTTTTTGAACATGCAATATAGCACCAGACCCATAATGCAAAAGGTAGGCAGGAGCAGACAGTGAAAGGCTAGCCTCCTGTCTGCCTTGGCCTCCACCCAGTTCCCCAGGTCTTCTCTCAAGAGGAAAATGAGATTCCCGGGTTTTGTGGGTCCTTCTCGAACTGGTTTCCATGAGGACAAGGAAAGACAATGTCCAAGTCCCCAGTCACACAGAACATTTGACAATCCCCACCCCCCCCCGCCCCGGAGCTCACATCACTGCTGCTGCTGCTAATAGCTGGGGCGCCTGGCCCTGGAACCAGCTATGGCGGTATTTCTGGCCGACCATGCCGCTTCCTCTATTTCAGGAGCAGCCACGTCTGCTGGCAAAGTAGGTGTGCAGATTGAGGGCAATAGGTTGGAGCACGCTCTATGCAGAAATCATGAAACAGGCCAGAGAAATGCTGTGTAAGAGGGCATCTTTTCTGGGGCATCTCACCAGGCTGCCCGCCCATGTGTGGTGTCGCAGGGATGGGGCTAGAGCAGGAACCCCAAAGGCTGACGTGTGTGTCACTCAGTGAAAGTGTTAGTCAGCCAGTCGTGTCTGACTCTTTGCAGCCCTGTGGACTGTAGCCCACCAGGCTGCTCTGTCCATGGAATTCTCCAGGCCAAAATACTGGAGTGGGTCGCCATTTCCTTCTCCAGGGGATCTTCCCGACCCAGGGATAGAACCTGAGCCTCCCGCATTGCAGGTAGATTCTTTACTGTCTAAGCCACCAGGGAAAGTTCTGATGTCCCTCAGGAAGGAGATAAGTGTGTCTGCCCAGGCAGGGACGCAGCAGCAGTGGTACTTTGCGGGGAGGAATTGGGGGATGGTGTTGGCTGACCAGAGTCAGGGGTGAGAGACTGCTCTGAAGACCCTTTTGTAACTCTTTGTAAACAGAACTGCATTGAAAAAAGTGAAAATGTCAGTTTCTCAGTTGTGTCAGACTCTTTGTGACCCCAGGGACTGTAGCCCGCCAGGCTCCTCGTCCATGGGATTTCCCAGGCAAGGATACTGGAGTGGGTAGCCTTTCCCTTCTGCAGGGGATCTTCCCAACCCGGGTCTCCTGCATAGCAGGCAGGTTCTTTACCATCTGAGTCACCAGGGAAGCCCAAACAGAACTGCATTCCTTTAGGTACAAAGAAAAAACCAATAGTTACAAAAGGGAAACAGGTGCCTCTCTGTGAACTTCAGTTTAATGAGTGCCGGTGTTTGGGGCGTGGACAGGCAGGCCCTCCCGGCCCCTATACAGACATCCTCGCTCCAGATGGAAAGACAGGCTGTGACAAGTCCCCCGGAGGAGTGGCTGTTGAGGTGAGGGGAAGGGGAGCTCCCCGGAAGGTGGTCCTGGTACAAGAGAATGAGACACGAGGCCTTACAGGCAGGGCCCAGCCTCAGCCCTGAGGACACACGGAGGCTGGGTGACAGGAGCGCAGCTACCATCCATTGCGGGGTCGAGGTCCGCAGGCTGAGCGCCAGGCCCCGCTCCAGCCTGGGAGCAGGGTGCGACCGGCAGTGAGCGGGAGGCTCCTGGCCTGCAGCGGGCCCAGCTGTCTCCTCAGCAGGCTCAGCCCTGTGTGCCTTCCTTCCCCCACAGGACACTGAAAGGGAAGCTGGCCAGACAGCACCCAGAGGCCTTCAGCCGTAAGTGTCACCCAGAACTCCTGCATCCCACTTCCGGGCTCTGTACCCTTCGATGTCCATGCCCTCAGCCCAGGGCTGGCTTCTGGAATGCACCCCACGGGGGACACCAGGCCCAGGCCCTGGTGGGTCGTGGGTCCAGAGACGTGGGGCAGGGGTCTGGCCTGGTCTTCTTGGCAACCTGCAGAGCAGGTGTTGAGATCAGAATCTCCTCTTTTGGCGGAGGTCCCAACAACGGGATGTTCATGAGGATGACACTCCTTAGCCCAGTGAGTGTCATGTACCCACTATGAGGCAGGCTGTTACCCGTAGCCACCTGAGGTGGGGGCTGTGCCCAGAGGGGCAGTGACTTGGCAGAGGAAGCACAGCATCGTCCATGCTGAGCCTTACTTTACCCAGTCTGCTGAATGGGCCAACAGCTCCCCACCCAGGGCTGCTGAAGCCACAGGCACAAAGGCAATGCCATCATCTCCAAGTTTATAGAGCAGGGAGCTGAGGCACAAGCAGGCGAGGGGCCAGGCCCGGGTGACACAGTCAAGAGGGCAGAGCCAGGCTCAGGCTCACCGCCCAGGGCCCATATAGGCCAGACCCCGGAGAACCTGAGTCCTTACCTCACTTCACCTTAGAGAGAGGCCTCTCACCTGCCAAGGCCTCAGTTTCATCCTCTGTAAAGTGAACAAAGTCTTGTCCTGTGGGGTGGAGGTAGCTGTCAGGGGTCATGGGCCCAATTAATCCCTCATCACAGTACCCAATGATGACAGTGACTCAGCCAGCTCTTGGGTCTCCTTCCCCCAGACATCCCAGAGGCATCCCTCCTGGAGGACGAAGATGAAGACCCCATCCCGCCTAGCACCACCACCACCATTGCCACCTCGGAACAGAGCACAGGCTCGTGTGACACCAGCCCCGACACCGTCTCCCCCTCCCTCAGCCCTGGCTTCGAGGACCTGTCCCATGTCCGGCCTGGTTCCCCCGCCATCAACGGTCGCAGCCATACAGATGACGAGGAGACGCCGGGCGAGTAGCCCTGCTCCCAGGAGCCCCGAGGGGGTCTCAGGGCAGCAGCAGCATCGCTCCCCAGATGTCTGAAGTGGCAGCGGAGAACCTGGCCTCGAGACACTCAGCTTTGCCACCCTAGTCTGTCATTTAGGGCTCGCCAAGGGGACAAGCCTCCCTCCCTAGAATTCCTGGGGATCTTTGATTCTTGCTCCTTCTTCACTGAGAACATCTCTCTTCTGTGGATCCCTGTATCAGACTGGGGATGACCAGTCCATCTGGAGTTGGGCTGGGCACAGGGAGCTTTTCCAGAGTCAGGCCTTAGGTCTACTCTGAACAACACTTAAAGCTTCCCAGAGACCAGAGCCAGATGTCCCCTGCCCCAGCCCCCTGGTCAGAACCCCCTCAAGACAGTCAAGCACTGTCATGTCCAAGTTCACTGAGCCCAACCCTGCGCCTACTAATTCTGGTCTTCTTGCCCCTTCCTCCAATGAAAGTACTGAATCCTTTCTCCAATCATTATCTCAAGGTTTCTGAAACAGTTGTAGAAGGCTCAAGACAGAGATTAGCCATCCACTCAGCCCCAAGCCTGGTTGGGCCCTGTTTCTCTGACCGGAGCTGTAGACCTCTAGGGCCTAACAAGCCTCTCCTTGGGCCTTTGTGGAGCAAGCCGAGTAACCGTGGAGAACAGAGTTAAGTGGAATATTTTTGTACCCGATGTTTACAGATGCTGTTGGGAAGCTATCAATAAAGAGACTCTGTTACTAAAAAGGGAAGGGTGTATCTAGCAGTGACTTCCTTCCACCCTTGGGCGCAGCATCCCAAAACAGGGACAGGTGCTGCAAGTGGGACAGGCTGGTTATGGATCGCCAGGCACCACTGGCCTAGAAAGAGATGTAGCTGCTCCAGGTGGGAGTCCCCAGTGGTGACAACCATAATGACCCCACTTCCTATCACCACAGAAGCCTTCCCACTGCTTGCACATCATTTCCTTACTTCCTTGAATAATTCCTCTAAATCTCAGCCCCAAAATGGGCTCCTCAAGGAGCTAGACGGGGTCCCATTCCCCATCAGACACTGTCAGAGTCCCCTAATCTTTGAAACACTTTCCACTCTTATTAAAGGTCTCTTCCCAGACCTCAGTGTGTCTGCATTTGCCTGGTCCACAGGGGGCGCCGGGAAGTGGTCAGTGAAGTAAGGTACGCTGAGCAATGGCTCCACTGGGAAGAAGCCGCCTGCAGTGCAAATGTGGGTTCGATCCCTGGGTCAGGAAGATCCCTTGGAGGACAGCATGGCAATTCACTCCAGTATTCCTGCCTGGAAAATCCCATGGACAGAGGGGTCTGGCAGGCTATAGTCTATAGGGACGGAGTCAGACACGACTGAAGCGATTTAGCGCAGCACGCTGCCAAACCCACGGATAACTTCGTCCTCACTTGTTCCCGGCGCCCAGCACTTTTTAACTTCTTCCGTCGCAGATCCAAAACAGACCCTGGGTCCCACTTCATTTCCTTGAGTGAATGCACCAACACCACCTGCTCTCCGCGCTCCTGTACGCACCCACCCCGATATCTATTTATGCACAGCAGCCAGAGAACCTCCAGTGGCTCCCAGGGGTCTAGCCCCCGCGCCGCCTCCCGCCTCCCGCCTCGACCCCTGCGTCTTTGGACCTACGGCTTAATACCTTTCAGCACAAAGGTCTCGCCTACTGTGTTTAAATATTTCCGGAGCACCCGCTATGTGCGGGCCGTCTCCCAGGCGGTTTGGAGACAGCGGGCAGTAACACCTGGAAAGGTGCGGCAGTCTTACTACGTGACCCGGTGGGTGGGGCTCACACCCGGAAGCTAGTGGGCGAAGGTCCCACTCAAGCGCCGCGACTTCCTTCGCCTGCACCCATCACGGGGGCGGGGCGGGGTCGCGGGCGGGGCACGGCGCGTGGCGCGGATTGTGACGCAAGCACGCAGCGTGCTCGGTGCGCAGGCGCTTTCGGCGGCGAATCGGCGGTTTCCGGTTCCGCCGCCCTCTTTCTCTTCAACCAGGCGGCCGAGCAGGTTGGTGGTGGAGGCCTTGCGGGTTGGCGGTGGGCCGGGTTGGTTTGTAGGGTTCGGGGGACTATGGGGACCCAGGGAACGGAGGCGGCGGCCTGGAATCCGTGTAGGCGGGCCAGGTTCTGCGGGATGGCTTAGCAAGGCACGCTGGGCCGGATTCCGGTCCCGAGCTGGGCCCCGCGAGGGAAATCGACATTTGGAAGGGGAGCTTGCCTGCTCCGCCGGCCCCAGCTGTCTGAGGAGGCCTCGGGGAGAGAGCGTGTGTCCTTCGGGGATGATCCAATATAATGCGGAGGGGTGTTAACTGTAATTTTTTCTCGTGGCGGAAACTGCCAATCCCTTCGAAATTATGAAGCCCCTGAGCTGGGTTTCCATCAATCTCCTTTGCTAAGTCTGTAAAGAGTCTGGTAGTAGCAACTGTTTTCTTAACTAAGAAAGATGAAAACATACCTGTGTAAACAAGTACCAGGCACGTGGTTAGCAGTTGTTATATATGGATTGGATAAAAAGCAGGAAGTGTGGTCTGAGCTTTAGGGTGTAACCCAGAAGGAAGCCGGAGTTTTGGGTGTCTGACCTTGGTATTGAAGAGGAAAAGGGATTGTAGGGAGGAAAGTGCGCGTGTTGAGATGTTACGAAGAAGAGATTCTCACACAGGCTGCAGGAAGGGCAGGGTCTGGTGAGGAGAGGAGGGGTGGGACTTCAGACCACCTTGGAGAAAATATGCTTGGCAGGGTGGTGCCCTAAAGTTGAAGGTGCAGGCTCAGAGGGGCAGAAGGAAACAGGCACAGAGGTGGGCCTGCAGTTGAGGTCGAGTTATACATGGGGTTGTCAGGGACTAAACCTGCCTGATCAGCCTGTGAGCTGGGGCTCCTCAGACCTTTAGCGATCACCACTCCCCCATCCATGCTAACCCTCTCTCCCCAGCAGACGCAGAGATGCAGATCTTTGTGAAGACCCTGACGGGCAAGACCATCACCCTTGAGGTCGAGCCCAGTGACACCATTGAGAATGTCAAAGCCAAAATCCAAGACAAGGAGGGTGAGTTGGGCTGAGTCTGAGTGCTTGGCCCAGTAGGAACTCCTCAGCCCTGGGTATCTGCTGTCCTGTGTGGAATGGGTGCTGGGCTTCAACAGATCTCAGCCATGCCCGTGTTCCCCAGTGTCATCTTGGGAAGGCAGCTTGTCCTCCCTACCTCAGTTTCCCTTTTGACAGATTCGGGTAATCCTGGCACAGCGTATGTGTGTGTGTCTGTGTGTGTGTGTGTGTGTCGGAGAGGGGTGGTTGTGGCAGTTGCCAGCAATGTGCTTGCGAGAGAGCCTCTATCATGGAAATCCTCTTTTCTTAGGCATCCCACCTGACCAGCAGCGTCTGATCTTCGCGGGCAAACAGCTGGAGGATGGCCGCACTCTGTCAGACTACAATATCCAGAAAGGTACGGGGGTGGGGTGGCTAGACAGGACCTCAGCGAGGCCTGGGACCCAGGATGGAATACTGACAGTCTGTCACCAGGAGGGAGCTGTAGAGAAGGGTGGTCCTTAAGGTGGGGATCAAATGGCGCTAGGGAGTGTTGCTCTCTAAAGTGCTGTTTTCATCGCTGAAAAGCATCTCCATCAGTGTTTTCCAAATGGCCATGGATTCTCATGTTCTTAGTCACTTTTTTTTAAGGCCTGTGTGTGTGTGTGTGTATTAATGTTATAAGTATTGTAAAGGAAATCACCACTTTTTCCTTAGCAAAATAAAAGGTTATCCTTGCATCTTTTAAGAATTGCCTTGCTTGTGGGGAAACGCAGATGGATACCACTGTTGATGTATATTTATATTAGTCTCCAATTTCGTGAGGACTGGTGGGACATGACAAGGTGGAGGTTCTGTGCGGTGGCATGTCCATCTGCACATACCCACGGGATTCTGATGTAGCCCCATCATACTTGATAAACTGGTCTGGAGGGCCCTGCAGGCTGCCCTCCACCCCTGGGACTGAGGTGGTGAGGCAAGGCTCGGTCAGTGTCTCTCTCCGCCCTTTATTTCCTGTAGAGTCCACCCTGCACTTGGTGCTTCGTCTGCGAGGCGGCATCATTGAGCCTTCCCTCCGCCAGCTCGCTCAGAAATACAACTGCGACAAGATGATCTGCCGCAAGTATGGCTCCCGTTCAGGGGCGGGGCGGGGGTGGCTGGGCGGTCGGGGTGTGCCCTCACCGGCCCTGCTGTGCTCCCACAGGTGTTATGCCCGCCTGCACCCCCGTGCTGTCAACTGCCGCAAGAAGAAGTGCGGCCACACCAACAACCTGCGCCCCAAGAAGAAGGTCAAGTAAAGCCCCTCCGCCGGCTTCTCCTTTGCCCACAGGGCGGCCTCCTGCCCAAGCCCCGTGGTCCTGGGGCCTCAATAAAGTTTCCCTTTCGTTGACTGGAGCAGTAATTGGTGTCCCTGTGGCTGGTCTGTCCAGTGGGGAGGTGACTGAGGTGTGGACATCTTCGGGACTTCGTGTCACTCAGCTCTTCATAGCCCTTGGGGGGGGTCCCAGGTCTGGAGTTCCACTTGTCTCATCTGTAAATTGGGCCATGGTCCCTGTCCTTCACATCTGAAGTTGTCATAACCACAGCACAGGCAAGTCTCAGACCTGGCCCTCTGCCACATAACCTAGTGAGCCCTCCCATTTGGGTTTTACCATCTGAAATATGAGAATAAAGACCTTCAACCAAGTGACTGGTGGGACCCGGTCAGGCACATTTAACAGCCCCTCATGTCTGGGCCCTGGAGGTGTTTGGGTGTGGGCGGATGGGTGGATAGGATGGAACACCCCACCTAGTGTAATAACACCTTTTCTCCGTTCTGCCTGACCACTGGAGCCCCTGGGCCCCACCCAAGATATGTCTGTCAGGGGAGGGCAGCAGTACCCTGGCAAGCCCATGTTTTTATTTGTCTTGGGATGACTGGGGCTGGATGTAGGTGACAACTCAGGCCCAGACAGTGATGCCTGAGAATAGCTGAGACCTGGAGGCTGTCGCTTCATGTCTCAGGTAGATGAGTTTCATTTTTTGTTAGTTGCCCCTCCCTCCCTAAGGCCAGGCCACCATTTTCCTGGTCTATCCACTTGTCCACTCCTAGAGGAGGGAGGTTCTGAAGTTTAAATTAGGCAGTGTGTATACAGCTCTCAGGCCTCTCAATATGAAACACTATACCACCACCCTCGCCCTGCCCTGCCCTGGACTCCCATCTCAGGGGCTCTTTTTCAGCTCACTTCCAATCAGGGCTCCCCTGATAGCTCAGTTGGTAAAAGAATCCACCTGCAATGCTGGTTCAATTCTTGGGTAGGGAAGGTCCCCTGGAAAAGGAGTAGGCTACCCACTCCAGTATTAGCTCAGATGGTAAAGAGTCTGCCTACAATGCTGGAGACCCAAGTTCAATCCCTGGGTCAGGAAGATCCCCTGGAGAAGGAAATGGCAACCCACTCCAGTATTTTTGCCTGGAAAATCCCGTGGACTGAGGATCCTGGTAGGCTACAGTCTATGGAGTCAGAGACGACTGAGCGACTTCACTTTCACTTTCACCCACTCCAGTATTCTTGGGCTTCCCTTGTGGCTCAACTGGTAAAGAATCCGCCTGCAATGCTGGAGACTTGGGTTGGGAAGATCCCATGGAGAACTGGAAGGCTACCCACTCCAGTGTTCTGACCTGGAGAATTCCATGGACTGTATTCCATGGGGTTGCAAAGAGACAGGACTGAGTCAATTTCTTTTTCCAACCGGTTCACATAGGACCTGCTAGTGAATCTGCTGTGGGCTGGGTTCCAGCGACTTGAGCTTTCCAATGTCAGAACCTGCGCTCAGATCCCACTTTTGTCACAACCTTGTGGCGTCAAATGACGAATATCACTTCCCAGATTTTTTTCTTTAGTTGTGTGGGAATGGGATGTGAGGAAGTGAAGTCGGGTGCCGACAGTTGTATAGAAACAAAACCTTGTGTATATAGAACCTTATATTCAAGATCAAAAAGTTTGAGAAGGCGAGTGGTGGACAGGAATAAACACGGGGTGGAGTGGCTAGAGGGTGTCAGGCCTGAGAAACCCTCCAGTCCGCTTCCCATTCTTCCCCGGGGTTTCTTCCATGTTGGCTAGGTTCCGAGGCCTCCGGGCCTGCAGGGGGCGCCAGGCGTATCGCAGCAACCTGATCCCGGGCGGGGCCAGAGCTGCGCAGTCATGATCACGGCGGAGGCCGCATCAGAGTCCACAGTCCCTGCGGTGCCCGGTGATACGGCCGCCACTGGAGTCCCAGAGCGCGAGGAGCTGGTGTGGCCCTGGGTGAGCTCGAGCCCGAGCGGGAACATGAGTGGGGCGGGCGGTGCAGGCCCGGGGGCGCCAGCTTCATGCCCTAGCCATGCTCCTCGCTCCGTAGAAAGATGCTCCGATCCGGGCGCTGGTGCAGCGCATCCATCAGCTGCAAGCTGAGCGCGCGCAGGCCTTCCGCCGGCTGGAGGAGTGAGTGTGGGCGTATGGGAGGGGAGGGGTCCCAAGATTCGGCCCAGCCCACTCTGAGGATGGGCGAGCCTTGAGGGAGGAATTGGGTCCCCGCGCGCCTCAGCGTCGGAGGTGGAGCGGGGTTTGCGGGGAGACCAGATCGCTCCCTTCGCTATGCGCTGGGGTGCGCTCGTCTCGAGTTACCCTACGGGGATCGGAACGTCCTCCACACTCTGGGGTCGAGGGACACTTCTTGGGCGGCTTTCAGGCGGTCGATGCGGGTGCAGGGCCTGAGAGTGGGGGCCGTAGCCTCAGGACCCCCACCTGCCGCAGAGGCCACCGCCAGTACCTGAGCAGCGGCCCGCCCTACGACTTCCCGCGCTACCGGAGCACCGTACACGAGGTGACCCAGGTCTTCGCCGCCGCCTCGAGAGAGGTGCTGGCGGTGGAGGCCGAGCTAGCCGGACCCCGAGCGCAGCCGCTGCTCGCGAGTCACGTGCGCAGCCTGCAGCAGCTGGAGGAGACGCGACTGACCACGGTGAGGCCCCATTCCCGGGGTCTTGGCCCACGGTGCACCCCTTGGGGGAAGGGCCACATTCCGTCCCTGCAAACCCCGCCCCTGGTGCCCCAGCACCGTCTCTACATACCCCAGCTAAGTTGTCCATTAAGATTTCACTTGAGAGTTTCAGGCTTAGCCCCCTCCTTTCTGCCCCCACTTTTATCCAGGACGCGTCCGCTCGTCCCAGACCCCGCCTCTCCAGGGCTCCTACCCCCTCTGGCTTGTCCCAGTGCCCCGGATCTGTTACTCCGCCCTCAGATTGGGCGCCGTGAAACTCCAGGTCAAGTTCCCTTCCTAGTAACCCCAGATCCCAGCCTAAATTGTGGGCCTGTGACCCGGCCTACCCTGCCTTCACAGCCAATCCTGATCGAGATACAAGGCCACGTGAAGCCACGCCCGCACCACACTCTCCGCTGGGATTCCCAAGCCAACCCAAGTCTAGGTTTTTGGCCTACTTCCAAATTGGGATTATAATGCCCTGGCTGGTCTCTGAGACTAAGAGATTCTGCCTACTTTATACCCCCATCTGCACCACTCCTGTCCCCCAATCCCTGGCTAAGATTTCACCCTTATTCCCCTTCCCCGCCTACATGAGGCCACACCCTCTGACTCTAGGGCCCGCCCACTCGGCCCCCCTGGTCAGGAGCCCCTCTAAACCTAATCCTAGATTCCTCCAGCGTTAAAAGAACCGCAGCCCTTGAGACTCCTGCCTGCTTTGCCCCTCCTCCCCCTTGTGCTGCCTTTCTGGGTGCTTCAGTGTTTCCCCCTCCCTCCTGAGGGCACAGCCTCTGCCAACGATGACATCCTCCTTGCTGCCCATTCCCCAACCAGGTGGCCCTGCTGCAGTTGATGGGGACACCAGAGCTGACCGGGCAGGACGACAGCCTGCAGATGCACCAGCTGAAGATGAAGTGAGTGCTGCCTCCCAGTGGGCTGACCATGCTAGGTCTGCATAGGCATCCTTGGGCACCCAGCCCCAAACAGGCGTGCCCCAGGGCTGGCAAGGTTGACCGCCAACCCTCTGGACCTGCACACAACCCGTTGGGCATGCACACCAGAACCTTCACCTGGTGATCCTAGATGAACTACCCACCTTCCCCCGGTGCATATGCCCTGCCCTTTCACACTAGACTCGCTGTGGATTTTCAGGACACGGCTGCACCCCTCACACCTGTCGATCCCGCTCACATGGCTCGACTCGGAGCTTGGACATGGTTGCCCAGGCCCTACCAGGCACACGTCTGCAGCCTCCCAGACACACATGTGCACACCCACTAGACATCTGCCACAGTCACCCCGCACACCTTCCTGCTGGCACACGCTCGCCCAAGGTGACCTTTCCTCCCGCCACTCTGACCCACAGGGCCACCCCTCCTCCCAGGCACCTAAGTGGTCCTGCCACTGCTAGTGCTGCCTGGAGGTCTGGCGGCAGGCAGGCGGGCCCGGGGCTTGCTACAGCCCCCTTGGAGCTGCACTGCAGCAGCTAATTCGCCCCATCTGGGTTTTATTTATAGTTCCCATCCACTCTTGTAGGGTAATTAAAACCATGGAAGCGATCAGTGAGATTCTCCAGGACCTCAGGTTTGATGCGGAATCTGCCGAGTGATGGTGGCTCCGCAGGGACAAGAGAGATGGAAAATGGGGCATATGGCGCCCTGCCCTGACCACCAGCTGGCTGGGGTCACACCCCACTGGACCACTGACCCTCCTTGAGTTCACTTCACCTCCCATAATAAAGAACCTAAAGAACCTTCTGTCTGCAGCTGCTCCACTATCTCTTGTGTCCTGGGGTGCTGGGGTGGGGTCCCACAAAGCCAGGGATGCTGGGTGCAAGAGTCCCTTCCACCACCCCCACTGCATGACTGGAAACTGGTGTTTTGAAGCCCACTCTCCAAGGAGTTTAGAACAAGATATTTCGATCATGGAGAGAGCTGGAAATTCTGGGAGGTGAAGATTCCCATCCCAAAGGGTCATCAGGATTCCATGTGCATCCCCTAAGCCCCGCAGCCCCCCACCCTAGGCCACTCTAGCCCCGAACTCACCTTCACAATCAGGGCACCTAAATAGTTTTGTTTATTTAAAAAGATTCCTTGGAGGGGGTCCTGGGTAGGGAGAGTAATAACCATTCTTCACACTCAGCTCTGGCAAGCATTCTGGGAAGCTAAGCCCCCCTTCACACCCACACACCCCACTGGGGTGCACCTCACATGGAGGCCAGAGCTGTTTCAGAGCTCAGAGTACTCGCCCCCGCTGCTGCTGACAGGGCTAGGGCACCCTGAGGTGAGGGTACAGAAATGGCCCCCAGTCTGGGGGTGGCCCCTGGATCTCCATGCAGCAGGGAGGGGGCAGCCCCAGCCTCTAGAGCTTATCTGGCAGGACCTGCAGGCAGAGGGGAAGCCAGGC